ACACTAGCTACATAGCCACGGACCACTGACCGTGCGTGATCTTTCTTTCTTCTTCCTTGTCATGTTCTCACCCCTTACATACACTCTTACACGCACTACGCTAACACACATGTCGGGAGTGGTCAGGAGCTTAGAGCATGTCTCGGCTGATCCGGTGCCCTGATGGTGGGAGATTGGTTGGGGAAAATCCCCGCCAGCCGACTTTGATCGGAGAAGGAACTCGCCATCAGTGGATCATCACTCCATCTCGCGATAAAAAACATTTACTACACTTACGGGGCTAATGACCTTACCAGTTGACGCACCCGGAATCATTAGTCAATCAATCAATAACATCATCAATGTATTTAACATCGGTTTTTTAATCCCATTTTTTTAACATCGGTGTTCAATGGTCGATGATTTAACATTGTTAATTTTATTGAATGAAAGATTATCATCATTACTAAACTCTATAATAATTTTCATCTATTCATAAATTTAATATTCTGCACACCGAAATTACCAAGAGTGAAAAATAAATAATAGATCGAGTCTTCGTCAATAGAGAAGCCTATAATATTATTTTTGAACTATCCAATCAGATTTCTTTGATCCTGTGCGAGTAAGATAAACTTCAACCAATAATTATTAAACGATACCACTTTCAAATTAAATTGCCCCCCCCCCCACACACACACACATAAGTGAATTACAGTGGTTAATTCTCCAGTTCTAAAGATATCGATATTTAATAACATCTATGGTATGTGTCGATACATTATTAACTAGCGATGTTTTAATTTTGAGCCTTGATTTGTATCATCATGTTTGCATATGATAATGTCGCATCCGATAGTTGTCACAATTAGGGCGTCTTAATTCAGCGCTGGGTCTGGCGTCTTCACCCGAGGCGGGGGCTGGGCGGTGCGGTGGGCGGGGCTTGGTTGCTGGGGCGGGAGTGGGGCGTGGCTGCGGCGGGCATGGGCGGGGGCTGGCTGTGCTGGGCGGCGTTACTGTGGCTGGGCGAGCGGTGTGGGGCGGGGTGGCAAGAAGGGTGTGCGCGGCGGCCGGGCGGAGGTGGGGCGGGGCGGAGACTGAGGGCGGGGCTCGTGCAGCGTTGTGCAGGCATGGGCGGCGGCGGGGTAGTGGGGGTGCGCGCGAGGACGCAGGCGTCCGAGGAGGGCCGCCCCGGCGACGTCAGAGCGATCGCCAGGCGTGGAGGCGCAGACGACGAGGAGACGCGTAAAGGCTGCCGCGGAAACGTGGAAACTCTTCGCGGTGGTAGGTTCGAACCCGTAACAATTCGGGATGCCCATGCGGCGGGGGTGCGGCGCGTGTTCGGACCTGTGGCCCAAAGGCCAACGCAAAGGCGTCAAGCGCGGAGGGCGCGAACCGCTCTGCGCAATCTGCATTGCGTGGGGTGACAGTACGCGCCGCGTGGGAGACTCAACGGGAAGGGGTGCGAGCGATAGGGCGAGGTGTCCCCGCTTTGGATGGAAGGTTGGAAGAGCACGTGACAGTTTAGTCTGTAGCTTCGCAACCTCTCAAGTTATACCCTCGCATGACACCCGCCCTCGTCCGCCCGTCCACGCTCACGCCCACGCACGCCTACCCCCCACATATTCCCTCACAAACGCAAGCACATACACATATGCACACACACACACGCACGCACAGACCCCTGTCACCCTATCCCGCGTCCACGCATATGCCCGCCCGCGCAAGCCCACACGCACGTTCACGCATGGCAACACCTGCCCTCGCTACTCCGCCCACACGCTCACGCTCGATCATGCTCCTCCCCGCACGTGTCGTCCATCCGCCATGTTGGCACCCGCGTTCGTTCCCGCTCACCCCGTCCTTCTTCCTGAGGAGACGAGATTCGTCAATTCCCGTCGTATCACTCTCCACTTACAAAACTTTCCTCCCAGTCATCGCCTCTCGTCTCTCCCGTTTGACTGCTTCATTATGTCGGGTTTCCGGACGTGTTCACTGCTACTGTCATTTGCCCCGTTGGTATAGTGCATCTAGGAAGCCGCCAACGGGGAAACCCATCTCCAGGTATCTCCACAGCCGGGCTCCGCCCCAGCTCTAAGCATCCGACTCGTCTCCCCTCAAGTGTGGGTGGCAGCGTAGCGCATGTAAGTGTAAATGTGTGAGTAAGGTGAGAGAATAGAACAAGGAAGAGGAATAAAAGGTCGTGGGCGGTCTTTCGTGGCCCTTTTGTTAAGGAACTGCTCCTGCATTCCCCTGGTGTTGATCGGAGAAATCACGGAAAACTACCGATCAGAGCAGGCGGTCGTGAAGAGTTGCCTACACAAGATCTGAATTCAAAGCTAAATCCGTAATCTGCTTCTGTCAGTATCTGAACTCCGCCACTGTTAGTATTCGAACCGAAGGACCTTCCAGACCAAGGCAGCAGTGGGGATCAATGGTCCTGAGCCATTACATCCGGTCGCCGCTTCACAGCCATCCCACCTCTCTCTCTTCCGGCAACGCCTGCCCTTTTCCAGTCGCCCGCTCCCTGTTGCTGCTCCCCGCGCGCTCGTCAGCCATATTTCTCGGGGAAGCGTTTTTTTTCTCTCGTTTTTGAGGCGCCCGCGGCCTCTGACGCTGCAGGCGCCGGCGCCGCTGGCGGCCGCGATGGAAGCGCGGGTTGCGTGAGCTAAGCAAGTGCTACTTGTTTGCGAATGGGGCTCGAATAAGCAAGAGGGCGTCGAGTCTGGTCGGTATGACATTTACGATGCCGTAAGTGGCGTGACGTGACGACTATAACTTACTTCTCTCCCGACTCGTTGTTATCAGAAACGCAATGAAAGTCAACGTTTTTTTTTCAGATTCTGCAAATGTCAATTTCCTGATGGTTTGAAACAAATTAGCTAGTTGTTAATGATAAACAGTTTTCTGGCAAGCAACTAGGACACATTTTTTTGTAGTTTTAATTTTAATTTTGATGTAAATTTACAAAACGTGGATTTTTTTTCTTTTCATTTTACAATTGATGAATAATCCCATCACTTTGCATGATAAAAGGGAAATTTTGAGGAAATTTTTACTACGTAAAGCTAAGGGGGATTCTTTCAGAATTTTCAGAAGAACCACAGCCCCCTGCCTCGCTAACCTCGGCTCCCGCCTACGACGATAGATTTCTAGTTTTTCTCTAAGATGATACCCAGGGTTTTTCTTTATTCAGATGGTTTTTGTGCCCTATAAAATATACTGTATGAAATCTGCTGAATGAATCAATTCTTTGAGAAGCAATACCACTCGAAAGCTTTGTTTACGATGAAAATGAAAGATTTGTTTGTAATGAAAATGGAAATGAAGCCGCCTACCACTTCTGAGGGGCATAGAACCCGGAAGCTGCGTGACTGCCCCCTCCCCCTCCCGTTCGCCACCCCCTCC